CGGGCGAATGCAGAATTCAAACTTCAACACTAGAGGGCAGTAGGCAACTTTGTTGGAGTCTTCGCATTCTGTAGATTAAACAAATGTATTAGGAAGGTGTTATTATATTTCTCATTACGTTCATTACATGGGGACATGGCTATCAAAATAACTATGGTCTGCTAATGAAGAAGTTAAAAATATTAGTTGTTACCAAAAATGAGACACCGATATTCACTAAAATCAGAGAATTCAACATCACAGCTTTAGCTTTTAAGAAGAAGTTTATTTGGTATCATACCAAATGCTTCCTTGTGTGTTTATATTTTTGTAGAACAAGAAAAAAAAACAAAACAAGCAGCCTCTGCTGTTAGCAATGCACATTTCGATTAAAGAACAGAAGATATCATTAGAAAATGAACAATATGCATAGTATCAATGCAATGGGACTTGCTGTTTTCAACAAAAATTCAAAAATATCATTTTTGACCATAAATGATTGTGGTTTTTAACAAGAAGAAAATATCACTTTTTACCAAAAATGACAAAAATATTCATCAAAATTAGAGAATTGAAGATATCGTCATGAAATGAACAAATTTGAGAGTGGTCCATATGTAGTATCTATATATGTAATATCAAAGCAATTGGACTTGCGGTTTTTAACAAGAAGTCGAAAATATCACTTTTTACCAAAAATATTCACCAAAATTAGAGAATTGAAGATATGATCATGAAATGAACAAATCTGAGAGAGGTCCATATGTAGTATCTATATATGTAATATCAAAGCAATTGGACTTGCGGTTTTTAACAAGAAGTTGAAAATATCACTTTTTACCAAAAATGACAAAAATATTCACCAAAATTAGAAAATTAAAGATATCATTATGAAATGAACAAATTTGAGAGTGGTCCTCATGTAGTACCTGTATATGTAATATCAAGGCAATTGGACTTGTGGTTTTTAACAAGAAGTCGGAAGTATCTCTTTTTACCAAAAATGACAAAAATATTCACCAAATTTAGAAAATTAAAGATATCATTACAAAATGAACAAATCTGAGAGAGGTCCACATGTAGTACCTATATATGTAATATCAAAGCAATTGGACTTGTCGTTTTTAACAAGAAGTCGAAAATATCACTATTTACCAAAAATGACAAAAATATTCACCAAAATTAGAAAATTAAAGATATCATTATGAAATGAACAAATTCGAGAGTGGTCCACATGTAGTACCTATATATGTAATATCAAAGCAATTGGACTTGCGGTTTCTAACAAGAAGTTGAAAATATCACTTTTTACCAAAAATGACAAAAATATTCACCAAAATTAGAGAATTGAAGATATCATTACAAAATGAACAAATCTGAGAGAGGTCTACCCAAGGTACATATACACCAAGTATCAAAGCATTCAGACTTGTAGTTTTCAAGAAGAAGTCGAAAATGTAAAACATTGACACGGACGACGGACGACGGACACCGGACGACGACGGACAATCACTCATATGATAAGCTCCGCTCGACAAAGTCGACAGCGGAGCTAATAAAAATCTCCTGTTCAAATATGGTTTCGGCATTGTCTGGTTTGAAAAACAAGTTGGAGATACTGCAAATTTCTTAGAGATATTTACTCAAAGAATAAAAAAAGGAAGTGGCATGCCTCCATTTTACAATCATCAAGGCTGTGTACTTTTGGAAAAATCAAAGTAGTATTATAACCTGGGAGATTTATTGGCAAGCAATTATAGACTAAAATATATACTGACGAGTTTATGCTGTTTTGGCCATAAACATAATGTTAGAATTAGGCTGACACACAAAAATACAGTTAGATCAATAATATTTTAGTTTTTTCAGTGATACGTTCGAATTTAGCATGGTAGAAAATGAAATTCACTTTGTTTTTATATGTCCATTTTATAATGATCTAAGGGCTGATCTTTTGTCAATAACCCTATGCAATTATGCAAATACTGACAATCTGGGCTTACTTCGTTGCTACACAAATTGCCACACCATATATCAAATAGCTCTATATCTTTTAAAAGTTTCAAGCGACGAGACGAATATGAATTCAGTTTAACTTAGTACCATATGTTTACATGGATGTTGTATTGTGTTTAAAACGTGCTATGCACTTTTCTACCCATTACATTTTGTACGATAGTACAGAAATTAAATTACATAATACAAAATTGACTAATACTAAAATGAATAATTGTAGACAGATTTCGACATGAAATCGTGTCACTTTTATGTGCGCTAACATCTGCGAAGAGCGGAAAAACTCGTAAGTAGCGTTCTACCTTAAAATACTTAGACAATAATGCTATGATAAGTATAGTCTTGTCTTTTTTGTGTACAACATTTTGCCGTAGTGGATCAATGGTGTGGATGTGTTTGCCTGTAGGTGGGGAATGGCTCAGGACCCCTTCTCTAAAATGGTAAAATAGTTCAAAGATGTTATGTGAAATATCTTACCAACGTAACACAAAGTAAACCAATTGAATTTAAACCCGATAATATAAAAATCTCTGTAACAGAGCTCAAAAACACTTTTTGAATATTATAAAATTCACACATTTCACATCAACTATATATGTGTTGTTTTCGAACCCCCTATTCAAAAGTGCTGGCTACGGGCCTGAGTCCTCTGGAGATAGCCAATCAATGCTATGATGTGGAATCCATTCTGTACTTCTAAAGACCTTGATTGTAGTTGGTTACCAAGTGAGCGACCGCATTCGTTGATCAGCATTCGTTGCCACGTGTCTGACAAAAACACTAGAAGCTAGAAGTAGAGAGAATATCACGCACCATCTCAGTTGCCTCTTGTATGTTTTTATTTAAAGAACATGTTATGTCTTGGTTGACTGCCATACATGCTGTCCTCAACAACTTATGATTATATGCTGCTTCAGTGTCCATCTGTAGCTTGACAAAACGACAGAGTCTTATTATAGTCATATGATTTCTGCATGCTGCTTCATGACTCATATCCAGATTCCCTGTGGTCACTAAACGGTTTTCGGATCCAGAATAATCCTGCCAGGTCTGAAAAAGATGTATTCAGCAGTGGCTTTTTACACTCCATTACCCGCCCCATAGAGTGCATTTCCGAGACCCAGTAGGCACTGATTCACTAATACCCTAACTCTCGCTGATCTTGCTGGTTCAGTCATTGACACGAATTCTGATTTGGCATCACATGTAACAATTGTTGGCAACAATATACGTGGCAAACTTCATGCGAGTTTTCTAGTAAGCATGAACAGTCTATTTTCAATTTCATTAGCTATAATAGTGCTACTAGATTTAGACTTGTGCTTTTTAGATTCCAATTTGAACAATCCCCATGAACAATGTAATGAACACAAAATATGCATATCGCTTGTATCTAACACCATCAAACGCAATTATTCTAAGCATACACTGCAATATAATTGAGTATAGATTAAAATCGCACATCGTAACAAGCAGTATACAATTATTGGTAATTTAAAAAGATAAAAAAGTGTAAAATATCGACCTCATCTCAAGATAACTATTTTTGAGAAAAAAAGAGTAAACAGAGAAAAAACACCTGTCCACTCCAGGTGTGTGAAAAGCATTCGTGTCACTGTTTTCAAAATACCTTTCTTTTTATTTTCAGGCAGCCTACTATTTGTACTAGACTTCACTAGTCAAAGCTGGAGCTAGGGGGCTCTGGATCCCCTCAGGTAACTGACTTTTTTGGTATCTGGGGTGGTAAACTCGCCAAGCATATAAGGCTTTCAGACATGCACTGTATTTTATTTTATGTAGAACAGAAAGGATGGAGAACATCAAATATCTAGTCCATCCCAGTCATTCTAATTTCCTAAACAATTACAAGGCAAACATGTCCATGTGCAAGGTAACGTGTACAAAGCAAGATTTATTCTATAAACCCTTGTTTTTATATTAGTATACTGTAAGACAAATGAATAAAAAGGTCTCAATTTTGTTAATAGTAAACATTGGGACTTACTTCCTTCACTGGTCTTAGCACTCTTTTCTTCTGCAAGACTACACCTTCTTCCATTGCAAACCTTTATCTATATAGTGTGAACAGAAATATGTGATACATCATATATAATATGCATAGGGAATATCAGTTACAGAATGAGATGGATGTATAGATAAAAACTTTAGGGTTTTGATCAGCAATAGCAAGTATATATACTAGTTCTTGTTTCCAAATAAAACATGCTTTGAATTTATTGATAAAAGATAATTTTTAATAATAATTTGTTTTAGCACAAAACAATACTTGTAGTGAATTGATGTTTTGTCTATACCTGAATAGAGGACAGTTGTTGAATAATTGTGGGTAAAAATATACAATTTTCTGCTTTTATTCGAAGAGAATAGTACTTACTCTAACAATGTATTCAGTATATGCTAACAAATTTGTAAACAGGTAAGTATAAGTAGAAGTCTGGTCTGATTGTTTGGGATGTTCCGTATGAGACTTCACAGCTGATCCACCAGAGTTTAGAAATAGATAAAGTTCATATCTTTTTGTTACACCACGTGGATTAATCGGCGGGTTCCATTCAATAGTCAATGCACTATCTGATGTATTATGAAAACTGGATATCCTTGGTTTGTCTGGAACTGAAATATAAGAAAGAGTAATTTTGAAAGTTATTTCTGATTTCTTTCTACTATTAATTTGGGAATATATGATTCTCCATTGTTTATTTATACAGTTGTGAATAACCAGATGATCTGCGCATCACTGAAATCATATTCATACATATTCCCTAAAATTCATACCATCATATACTTCACAGTTCAAGTATATAAACCTACAAGAATTGCTCTGATGATGAAATGTGTTTCACAAAACCATTATAACTAATGTATATGCTTATACTATTCAAAATAGAACTTTCAGACCATTGGATAAAGCTTTAAAAGGAGCTGTTTTGGAGGACCAAGCATTATGGCGGTAAAAGTAATTTAAACCATTTTGTTACATGACTATTAATATTAGGCATATTGTAAAGAACATGTAAATCATATATTAAGATTTGTTATGAATGTTCTGTATTTATGTACTTATTATTTGAATTTATTATGATGCAAATAGAACACTATTTTAAA